GTCCCAAGGCGCTGCACAGTTGGGTCATGACCCGAGCAGGGGGGAAATGGTCAGGGTGAGGGGAGGGAAGGGAGGGAGAGAGGAGGGGGGAAATGGTCAGGGTGAGGGGAGGGAAGGGAGGGAGCGAGGAGGAGGAAGAGAGTCGAGAGGGGAGCTGAAGGCACGGTCAAAGAGAAAGGTTTTGAGACCGGCCTTGAAGGAGGAAAGGGAGGAAGCAAGGCGAAGGCACTGGGGGATGGAGTTCCAGAGCCTCGGGGCTGAGAGGCTGAAGGCCCGACCACCGATAGTAGGGCGGTTGGGGCGGGGGACGTGGAGCAGACCGGAGCCAGAGGAACGGAGGGTACGGGCAGGTAGGTAGGGGGATAGTAGGTTGGAGAGGTAGGAGGGAGCAAGGCCGTGAATGGCCTTGTAGGTGAGGATGAGGATCTTGAAATCAATCCTCTGGGGGATGGGGAGCCAGTGGAGGCGAGCGAGGGTGGGAGTGATGTGGTCCCGAAGCCTGGTGCGGGACAGTACACGAGCTGCAGAGTTCTGAATGACCTGCAGCTTGTGGAGGGAGGGCCGGGAAGGCCGGCGAGGAGAGAGTTCCCATAGTCCAGCCTTGAGGTGACAAAGGCGTGAACCAGGGTTTCAGCAGCGTGAGGGGTGAGGTAGTGCCGTAGTCTGGCGATATTCCGGAGGTGATGGAAGGCGGTGCCAGTTGTGGTGCGGATGTGAGGGAGAAAGGACAGCTCAGGGTCGAACAAAACGCCGAGGTTCCTGACTGGCTTTGAGAGGTGGAGAGTGCAGCCTTGGATGCTGATGGTGTCAGCGCCTGAGGTGCGGAGGCGCTGACGTGAGCCAATCAGGAGGGCCTCGGTTTTTCGCACGTTGAGCTGAAGAAAGTTGTCTCTCGTCCAGGACTCGATGTCGGACAGGCAGGCTGTCAGGACATCGGTGGTCGTGGAGTTGAGAGTAGAGGAGGAAAGGTAGAGTTGGGTGTCATCCGCATACATGTGGAAGTTAACCCCATGTTTGCGGATGATGTCACCGAGGGGGAGCATATAGAGGGTGAAGAGGAGGGGACCGAGGACAGAGCCCTGAGGGACACCACATGAGACAGTACGGGGGGTGGAGGAGAAGCCATTCGTTGAGACGAAGTGAAGACGGTGGGAAAGGTACGACCTAAACCATTCAAGGACAGTGCCTTGAAGGTTGAGGTGGGAGGACAAGCGGTGGAGTAGGATAGCGTGGTCGACCGTATCGAATGCTGCCGATAGGTCGAGGAGGACGAGGAGACAGAGGGAGCCCTGGTCACAGATGGTCAGGATATCATTGGTGACCTTGACCAGGGCAGTTTCTGTGCTATGAGCAGCACGGAAACCTGACTGAAGGGGTTCAAAAAGAGAATGGGTGGAGAGGAAAGAGCGCAGTTGGGAGGCGACAACTCTTTCCAAGACCTTGGAGAGAAAGGGGAGGTTGGAGATGGGCCGGTAGCTTGATAGCTGCGACGCATCAAGGGAGGGTTTTTTCAGGGTGGGCGTGATGATGGCAGTTTTTAATGGAATGGGGACAGAGCCAGAGGAGAGGGACAGGTTTATGATGTCAGTGATGTGTGGGGCAAGAAAATGGAGCTGGGAGATAAGGAGTGGAGTGGGGATGGGGTCAAGGGAGCAGGTGGTTGGTTTTAGGGATAGGATGAGTTCAGTGACAGAGGGTGGGGAAACGGGTACGAAGGTGTGTAGGGGAGGATGGGTAGGAGTCGGAGTGTGGGAGGGAAGGGGTGGGTGGTGGGTGGAAGTTGGAGGGGAAGTGACCGCGGAGCGGATTCCCTTGATCTTGGATTCAAGGAAATCCAGCATCTCCTCGCAGTGAAGGTTGGAGGAGATGACCTGCGCGGGGTGGCGGGGGGGACGGAGGAGTCGGGATGTGGTGGAAAACAGTAGCCTGGGGTTGTTCTTCGCCTCCAGGATTATCCTGGAGTAGAAGGACGACTTGGCCGAGGCTAGAGTGGAGCGGTAAATTTTGAGGAGGTCCAGCCAGATTTGTCGGTGGACCGTTAAGCCGGATTTGACAAAGGTGCGCTCAGCAGCCCGCACCTGGCATTTCAGTGAGCGGAGGTGGGTGGTGTACCAGGGGGAGGAGCGGGAGTAGGAGACAGTGCGGGAAGTGATGGGGGCAAGAGTATCGAGTGTGGAGGAGAGGATATTGTGGAGGAGGGAGAGAGGAGAAGAGGGGTCGGTGAGGGTTGAAGGCCAGAGGGAGAGGAGTTCAGAGGACTCCAAGGCATCGGTTAGGGATTGTGGGGGTAACTTCTTCCAAGGGCGGTAGAAGATGGTGGTGGGTCTGGTGGAGGTGGGGAGGGGGGTGGAGGTGGTGAAGGAGATGAAGTAGTGGTCGGAGATGGCCTTGTCGGTAATAGTGACATCCGAGACACTGAGGCCCCGGGTGATCACCAAATCGAGTGGGTGGCCGTGACTGTGAGTGGGGGAGTTTATGTGTAGGGAAAGGTTGAGTGAGGAGAGCAGGGAAGAGAAGTCTGTGGAGATGGAGCAGGAGGGGGTGAAGTGTAGGTTAAAGTCGCCCAGGATGATGAGGCGATCAGAGGAGAGGCAAAGAGATGTGAGGAGTGTTGAAATGTCAGAGATGAAGGTGGGAGAGGTTTTAGGGGGCCGGTAGAGGAGGAGGATTTTAAGGGAGAGGAATGAGGGGTGGGAGAGGGTGAGGTGCTCGAAGGAGGGGAAAGAGCCAGAGGAGTAGGGGGATAGGGCAAGTGGTGTCCTTGAGATAAGGGCAACACCACCGCCACGGCGGTTGGGGCGGGGGATGTGGTGGGAGGTGTAGCCGGGTGGCGTGGCCTCCGTGAGGGGGAAGGTGTCGCCTGGGGTGAGCCACGTTTCTGTCAAGGCCATGATATCAACGTTCTCATCAAGGATGAGATCGTTGATGACCAGGGCCTTGTTGCAGAGGGAGCGGACATTTTGCAGTCCGATGTGGAGGGAGCGGTTGACAGAAGGGTGTGTGGGAGGGGAGGGGGTCCAGGTTGTGAGGCAGGGGTGGGGGAGATGGGGATGAGGGAGGAGAGGTTGACTCCCCGGGTCTGTGTCCGGGGTGGCTGGCGAGAGTGGTGGGGAATGGGGCAGTCGGTGTGGCTGCTGCTGGACAGCCAACGCCGAGTGCCGCGGTGAGCCCGGCGGAGGATTCCCAGACTGGAACAGAGGAGGGGGTGGAAGGGTCAAGTGGGGATAGAAGACGAGAGGGACGGAGAGAGAGGAGGAGAGAGCGGGAGAGATGAGAAGGGGGAGGGTTTGGGGGGAGAGAGGAGGGGGGAGGGAGGGAGGGGGTGAGGGGGCTCGGGTCAAAGCCCGAGTTAGTGCAGTTAGTGCTTAAAATAAACACTGAATATATTTTGTAAAAAAGAACTAATTTGTTCCTGAAATAGTTGCAGGGTTATCCCTTAGGTCTAACATCTTTTTAATAGCACTTGATTTTATAGCTGATGTGATCAGAGCTTCCTGAATGGAGCAGAACAAATCCTTCGTAATTTAGGGAATCAGAGCACAGTTTCAAAAGTGTCATTTATGTCTTGATGTAAGATTACAGCTATAGTTCCAGCCTGTGGCCTGGGGGTGCTGTTTCCAGGCTATTCAAGCAGTTAGACAATAGAGGTACTGGGAACGAGCATAGTATAAAACCAATCATCTTAACAGCAAGGCTTCAAGGCTGGGCTGTGGAGGTAGAGTTAATCTTACATTAATGATGCTATTTCTGATGTTTTAATACCTTTATTACTGTAATTTTAGTTGGATTCAGGATGTTTCCTGCAATTACTGTTGTAAAGGTTAATTGTCTGAAATATTAGTCGGATCCCAGTTATTGGGAAGAGCCTTCCTTGTGTGTCCTAATTAATTTTGAATATCAACTTTCATTTCTCCACATGTTTCTGTTGGGTTCAAAACCTGAAGTCATTCAGTCAGTCATATTTCGATCCCATTATTTTCAGTGGGAAGAGCTGTCCTTAGTTTTTCTGTGACCCAGATGTTTCTTGATTTCATTTGTATGATCTGTGATGAGTTATAATATGACACGTATTTAATCCCTGAGTCTATTTTGGTTGTTACTAAATTAGCTGATATTAAAAAAAACAGGTAGCATCGTCAGGCTCAGTATTATCATATTGTCTAACTTCTGAGATCAGTGAAAACCAAAGAGTTTAATCGGACATCTGTTTGTAACCGGCAGCCTTTCTTAATTTTCCATATGATTGTTAAAGTTGAATTAAACAAATGTGCTGTGCCAAAGCACTCCAATTAATTTTGAAGCATTGCCACTCCTTGTGATTTTCTCCACGTAGCTAATACTCAATGGCTGAAACATAGGAAATCCTTTACTCCCAGTAACCCATCCTATCACAATACTTTATATCTCTGCTCCCCAATCCTCTGTTTATCTCTGTCTGTTTTAACCATCTCTGTTGATTCCGCCTCTACAGCTATCTGAGACAGAGGTTTCACATCTTCACACCTCTTGAGTGAGTGGAAAAATGCTTCCTGACCTCAGTTCTAATTTTCTGGTTCTGATTTTAAGGCTCTGCCTCCTTGTAATCGATCCCTCTATTAAAGAGAAAGTTCGCCCATATCTGACATGTCAATTTCTTTCATTGTTTGAAATACCTCAAATCAAATCACCTCTTAACCACTCTGCACTAAGAAATGTATACTCTACACATCCTCTCATCATAATAAACCCTATCAGCCCAAGTATTAATCTAGTGAACCACCACTGGACACACTTTAAGGCTAGTGTATATCCTTCCTGGGATTGGGTGACCAAAACTGGATACACTACATTCCAACTAAGGTCCGAGCAGCGTCCTGACTAATATTCCAGTCTTCTATTCCAGATATTCCAGCATCCCATTTACTTTATTGACTGTTTCCTTATGGCTGGATTTTAGTGATCCATTATAAATACTTGATTTGCTAACAGTTTCCAATTTTCCATTGTTCTTTCCATTGCAGGCTCTCTTCGTTCTGTTTATTTTGGCTTACATTCACATCGCCTTTTCCCGCTCTCCAATCAATTGCCTGGAACACGTCCGGGAGAAGTGGCCCCGAGATGGCATCTTACGGGTGGAAATCCAGCGCAATTCCAGCCGAGCCCCCATTTTCCTTCAGTTCTATGACTCGGACAGCTTTGCAGGCATAGTGAAGGATCCTGCAGAGGAGGAAGAGCTGAGCGTAGAAATGTTTGACAACACTTCCATACAGGTAACTATTCTGAATGTACCAGCCCAGGTATACTGAATGTGGGGCAGTTTTATTTCAGTGAATCTTTCCTATTCAAAATTTATTAATTAATGTTCCGAAACTTATCATGCAAGATTAATCCATTAGATCTCAATTGAACTTTTCAAGAGATAGCACCCTTCACGTCGGGAGGACGTCCCAAATCGCTGGACAATGAAGGGTTGCACCCAAACTGGGGGCTAGAATCGAGAGCTGGAGGGTAAGAGGAGTGGAGGTGGGAAGATGACCAAAGACACGGTCGAAGAGAAACGTATTGAAGGAGGCAAGGGAGGTGGAAGGGCTGAGGGACAGTTTCAGAGAGTGGAGGCAGAAAGGCTGAAGGCTCGATTGCCAACAGTGGAGCGGGCAGGGGAAATAGAGCAGGCCAGTGCACGCCAAGGGGAAAAGTAGGTTAACGAAAATGGTGAATCCTGATTGAATATAATGGGAATTCTGTACTTAGCATAATGAGTTGACCACTGTTTAGTCTTTTTGCAAAAGAAAATGTTGGCTGACTGATAATGTCATTTTGTTTTGGTCATTTTTTCAGTTTGAATTGGACATAGAACCCAAAGTGTTCCTAAAGCCCTCACTGGGAAACAAAGCTGAAGTGGTAACCCAGGTGATACAGAATGACAGTCAGGGGCTCTCATTCACTGAGGCGTCCACTAAAGGTATGCAGCCTCTGCAGGAAACGGTCTCCGAGTTTGAGATGCTAACCAGAGCAGGTAAAATCCTAGTCACTCAAGCTCTTCCCTCCCCACTTTTTTTCAACCTATTTCCAACATCTCTTGATATCTTCACTGGGGTAGGAGTCTCATTCTGTCTCAAACACCCTTCCTGGGCACTTTAATAATCCTGCTTCAGTGTTCCTCATTCCTATTGTATTTCAGATTTTGAGCTGAGAATATTATCTTAATTCCGTAAAAAAAATTGGTCACTTCAATCCACAACTGTTTGTGGGACACTACTATGAGCAATTGGCTGCTGCATTTTTCCCACAAATATACAGTTAATTCACTTAACAGTCTATTCTGTGAAGCACTTTGAGAAGTCGTGAATGTGGGGCAGTTTGTGGGGGAAGTCATGAAAAGCGCTATATCAAATGCAAAGATTATCATTATATAATTAAGAACACTTAAGCATCTATTGTGAATAAGGTGTACCAACCAAGTGCGTCTTCTTAAGTAAAGCTACCAACGGATCTTTAATTTCCTACAAACCCATTCATTAACATTGCTTTTTCTGATGCTTTTCAGCCTTTTGACTTTGTTTCTGAGTACTGATTGTGTTTTCTTTACTACAAACATTAAAGTGCAGCCCAGCCAGAATGATTGAACATTATCTATCCTGAATGTGAACTAGAGCATTTTGCTAGGTTTGTGTCTGTGTTGCCTCAGTAGCTAAAACATTACCTGCTTGGGGGGAGTTTCATTGTAGGCAATGACATGGCCTCAGACTATACGCCATCGCTTTGTCTGACGTGGTCTAAGTGCTGACAACTCCACCTTTGGGGTTCACTTGTTCTACTCTCAGACTTTCAGGAAATTACTTTTTCCTGATCTATCGATAAGTGGGGTATTTATAAAATGGTGGCAGGACTTTCAGTTCTCAAAGTGAAATTGTGTTGACTTCATAGAATGACATTGCAGGTTGTGTGTCTGCTGACTAAAGATGAATTGGGCTCCTTGATGAATAGGTCCTGTGTCTATTCATTTCACCAGCCTGCCTTTAAGCCAGCTGCCTGACATTAATTGTTAATGAAATTCTTTGTCCGAATATTGTCCAATGACACATACCTGATTGCCAAAAAAAAAGTGTGTTCAGGATGCTGTAGCCAATTCTGTTGTCAGATTTGTGGTTCTCAATAATAATCTCTCAATGTATTATTATTATTATTGTTGTGGAGTCCTGTAGCTCAGTGGTTAGAGCACTCGCTTTGCAAGTGAGAGACCTGAGTTCAATTCCAGGCAGAGGGCCAAACCTTGGGCAAGTTTCCTTACTCCACACAGAGCCTAATAATAATCCTCCAAAACCAAAAACAATAATAAATTGGTCATTTTCAATGTACGACTGTTTGTGGGACATTGCTGTGCGCAATTGGTTGCCGCGTTCGCCCACAAATATACAGTCAATTCACTTTACAGTGTGTTCTGTGAAGCGCTTTGGGACGTCCTCCCGACGTGAAAAGCGCTGTATCAAATGCAAGGATTATTATTATTATTAAAGCACACATATCACTGGTTGAATTGCAGTCTGCCTGACAGCTCATGTCAGTTCCTATCTGAAATACACTTAAATACCAACAACCTTGTAATGCTTTGTGCTGCCTTTTTACGTTTCAGTCTGTCTTTCTGCATTTTAAAGTTCCTTGTATTTAATTATTACAAATATGCTTTTTTAACTAGTATTATTTTCTGCATTAGGTTAGAAGGGAAATGACCCATTGGCATTTGTCCTTAACTGTGCATTTTGTCTATGCTCTAGTCTGGCCACAAGAGGAGTACATAGTGGAATACTCACTGGAATATGGCTTCCTCCGACTATCCCAGAGTACCAGGCAGCGCCTCAACATCCCAGTCATGGTCGTCATCCTGGGTAAGGGATACAAATAAAGTTTCTTATCTGTGTTGTGTGTACAATATGGATTTTAATCTTTATTGTAGCTTGGAAAACCTAGAAACATCTTTTCTCCACCTGCTTCATTTCTCCCACCCATACACATCGCTCTCTCCCTAGCTTTAAGCCCGCTCTTTAAAGGTTTTCAACTTATTGTTCCGCTCTGTTCCACCATCGGTGGTTGTGTCTTCAGCCACTGCTCTGGAACTCTCTCACTCAATCTCTCCACCTTGCTCCCTCCCTCCCCACCTTCAAATCCCACCTAAAGACCTTCCTTTTTGATCGTGCTTATGGTCGGTTCCCTCCTCTCTCTCCGTCTGGCTCGGCATCAGACTCTGCCACTGTAAAGCGCTCTGGGACACTTCTCCGCTTGAAGGGCTCTACATGAATGCAAGTTGTTGCTTCAACAGTAGTTTTGGTGACCTTTTGATCCCATGTCAGGCCTTTGAACTCACAGTCCAGGCTGACGCTCAAGTGCATTGCTGCAGTGCGCTGTATTGTCGGAGATGCCGTCCTTTGGATGAGACGTTAAACCAGGGTCCTATCTTCCTGTTCAGGTGGATGTTAATGATCCAATAGCATTACTCAAAAAGAGAAGTTAGTTTCTTCCTCTGTCCTGGCCAACAATACTCCAGGTCAAATCGATCTTCATGACTGTTCGCAGGACATTGCGGTGCGAAAATTGTTTGCCATGTTCACCCACAAAATGCACACAGTCGCAGCAGTAAACAGTCAATGCTGCAAGTGTTTTGAAACTGCCTTCTACCAACTACAGTTATTGTAAATTGTTGATGAACAGTTGGAATCTTTGTACAGGTTATGGAGGCTATCCAGGTTTGCATTGGCTATGGGTGCTGTGTGCATCACAACGTCTAGAAAACTGATACTGTATATTCAGCAAATAACTCAGGGCAAACTAAAAGAACCAGGTGTGGATCAATGTGTTTTTTNACGCAGTGTGTTCTCATTATTCTGGGCATAACACAGATTTCAGTCCTGCTCCAATTTCTAGTGAGCAGTCAGTCTGTCTAGGGTTTATCTTGTATATCGTGGGTCCTTTTTCCCAGGATCCTAATTTTCATATCCACAATACAAAACTCTTCCACAAAAAAGTTGGAGGGGTAATTCACAATTGCGCAATTGGTTGCGATGTGATAAGATGCCATATCAAATGCAAGGATTATTATTATTAGAATAATCATTCTTTGCTGAGCATTGGATGTTGTTTATGAACCTCCGTGTAGACTCTAGAATTCGGTGGTAAAATATCTCTGTTAAAAACTCTTTCTTCTCCGTCCCCGCGAAAAAAATTGCCACCATGCAATTCAAAGAATGGAAGTTCAACTTCATGTGGTCCAGTTGAGAGCTCATCCTTCAGACACTGTCGCATCTGGGAACACACCTGTTACATTATCCGATTTCTTTTCACAGATCCAACCAAAGACCTGTGTTTCGGGGATGGGTTTAGCCGATTTCTTTTGGATGAATTCTTGGGATATGATGATATACTGATGTCCAGTGTGAAAGCATTAGCGGAAAATGAGGAAAACAAAGGTAAGACCAATAAATTCTGAGACCCTGAATGCTCCTCTCTCAGCAGCACAGCTGAGGAGGAAACATAGTTTGTTTTCCATGTAAGAAAAACATTGGAGGGTTTGCTTTCAGAATCAGGTGGGCAAATAAGCTTGGGGCCGGGTAAGCTGGTTTACTCAGCTTTTTGCCTTGGACAGGAAGCCATTTCTTTCTGCTCCTCACACACGGCCCAGAGAAGCCATACACCTGATACCTGAACTATAGCCATAACAGGGTAGCCAGACCTTGCTCAAGTCTACCTAAAGAGCCCCATATATACATTATATTAAAATAAAACAGTACAGCAGTTTTCCCTTCTCTCAGATGCACACAGCATTTCCTCATTCTGATACATTCTGCTTCAATCCCAGCAGAAAGCTCTCAGCTTTTTCACGTCCCAGAGTTTTCACGTTCGCTGTAAAGGAATTCCCCCTAAACACCCTTTAGAACATTTTAGACGAATATATATTTAATAATGTGTATGGTCAATTGAGCAGTCTCAGTGACTGTCACCTTCCCCACGTACAGCCTGACTGAACCCACAGCCCTCAGCCAGTGAGTGGCATTGTAGAGGCTCAGCACAGCTCAGTGCCTAGATGGGGGGCTTGGCAGTATATTAATGCTGGATACTGAAACGTGTACTGAGTACATTATATGTTTTATCTTGATGTAAATGTTGTTTTGAGCGCTTGCTCCATGCACTCTGGGATCAACCTTGCTTGAGGTGTTCTATATGTTGTTGTCCTTTATTAAACTGCAATGAGATTTTATGTCTTTGTCCAACCAGGGTTTTTGCGTAACGTGGTATCAGGCGAGCACTATCGTTTTGTCAGCATGTGGATGGCCAGGACCTCCTATCTGGCAGCCTTTGTCATCATGGTGATATTTGTGAGTATGTTAAGCTGCAAATCGGAGTCTGTGACATATTCAGTTGGTTTCTGGAACAACTCGAAGAAAAGGATGGATAAGTCTTGGGACTTTCTCCTGACGTGAAAGGTGCTATAGAAATGTAATTTATTGGTGTTGAGTCTGAGAAAAAATGACCAGAAAAGTTACTTTAAAAAGCTCTCCTTGGCTTCTTAACAGTCCTAGGTCCCACGTGTTGCATTCCTTTGTTCTTTGACGTGGGATATTCTGTCTTACGTTCTTCTTACGCTCGGTTGTGTGAGCTCTTTTGAATTGAGGATTGTTTGAGGTAAGTCTGTAAATTTGGCGTCAGCCCTCGGTAAACAGATCAGAAGGTTCTACACTTGGTAGATATTCAATATGTGGAGCAGTGGGGAAAAAAGACAGCTGTATTTATTTAAACTGTTTTATCCTAGTTCTGCATTGTTAACCAGCCCATTTTTTAAGAGACTTTTACTATATTGAGATGCTCGTTTCTCTTCTCTCTCCTACGCAGACGCTGTCAGTGTCTATGCTGCTGCGCTACTCTCACCATCAGATCTTTGTCTTTATTGGTAAGTCTGCGTTAAAGGCTTCTTTCTGTTTGTAGGTTTATGTAAATGTAAATGAGAAATTGTGCTTCTAGTTGCTCGTTTTATTGCCTAAGTGTTTTGCTAAACAAAGATGTAATTGTAATTTTGCAAATCACAACTTTCATTTTCACTTTTTATTTAAATTCATTTGAGCGTTCCATTCAGCCCCTCCCTCGGGTGAAATTTGCACTAGATAGAAATTAACTCCACAAGCTGCCCAAGAATGAGGGCTGGCAGTTCTTCTACAAAGGGACTGTATGTATGATGCGTCAATGATATGGAACACATTCTAGCTAGAATTTTTTTAAAAAAAGCATATTTTTGGAATTCTTTATCTGCATTTTTTTGGTCCCAGTTAAGTTTATCCTTCCCTTTCTTCCCAAGTACCCATCCACACAGACACAGCACAACTTTCACACAGGATCATTCCACTCCACTGGGAGGATAGTCTGGACCACAGAATAGTTCTCATGCTTTGTAAACTACACTCCTTAATTGTCTGATAGAAAATCTCAGTGGATGTTTTGAGGCTGAGATCTAGTTCCTCACCAGAGATTATGTCCTGCAGTCGACCCAGTCAAAGCTAATAGAACGGGCTTCTGACAGAGACTGACAACTCTGGCAACAGAGAACTTTCACAGAAAATCTTATTTAAAAAAATGCCTCTGAATTTTTCAGAGGCTTATAAGCAAATCCTTCGAAGTCTTAGAACCTGGATAATCTCAAAGCGTTTGCTATTCTCGTTTGTGTTTCCCAAGTAATGTGTGCAAAGCAATGGGGAGACTGTAACATGTTTTACATATCCAAGGCCCTATTCACATTTTGAAAGTCAAAATTGATGCCAGCTGAGATCCACAGTCGAAATAAACACGTATGTTACTGCTACTTAACAGTATAGCTGGAAAGAATATCTTGGCACGGGCCTACCTGCACATTCCAACTGATAGGTTATTGCGGCTTAGGCTACAAGTTAAATTCAAAATACTGTGGTGTATCAAGGTTAGATCCAAGTAGGAAGTTCTGCAGAGTTTTCTTTTTTTTCTCAAAAAAACAGTTCAACACCTAAACCACGTTTTCTCTGTCCCTTCCACCTCCACTTCCTCACAACCCCAATGCGCATTCCCTGGAAATATATAGTAAGATGTGAACTTCTGGGAGTTTAAGCAAAGGTAGTGAGACTTTGAGTCACGATTTCGGGTGCTAATATTAACATATGGGATAGAGGTTTCGATTAAATGGCAGAATATGGAGCACAACTCGAAAGACCTTAGGTGTGTTCTGTTACTAGAGCAAATTACAACAGTAAAAAAAACACTCATAAAGTGATTTATCAGTAAAAATCAGATGTAAACATTGAAGTGGATGGAGCATGGCATATATTCAATTAACTAATTTCTTTCTTTCAGTTGATTTGTTGCAGATGCTAGAGATGAACATGACAATTGCATTTCCTGCTGCTCCCTTACTTACTGTGATACTAGCGCTAGTTGGTAAGAATGACTGTTTTGTGTTCAGTAGAGTTTTGCTCACGGCTGTTGATAATTCTGTATTCTTCCTGAAGCTGAACTGAATACGGGGAGGAGTTTGCTGGTTAGGTCTAGATCCAGTTAGTGGTGGGTTTGGGGTGGCAAAGCGGGATTGATGGATTGGATGCCTTTGAGGGATGGGCCCAGGTAAAGAGCGGGGTCTGGCTGAGGCTGCTATGAATCAATAGTATTTTTAAGGGCGGTTCTACAAAAACATCACCTGGATTTCAAAATTGTGTTTCTGAGGATGTTAACTTCCCCACTATTTTGAAAGCCCTGTGGTAATGTCAGACATTGTCCAACCCGATAAGCACATATACATGAGAAATGCTTAATGTGAGCATGGTTCTTGTGCTGTGATCCATTCAGGTCAGGTGCCTGGCTCTCCTCTCATTCAGCAGCAGGGAGATACAGCCACAGGTTAAGCTCCCAATACTCATTAATTTGTTTCTAAAATGTCACAATATTTTCTTTAAATGTTTCAGAAATATTCATGAAGCACATTCTTGATAAATTAATGCCTTCCCAGTTGTCAGACTGACAGTGGAATCCATTGACTCACCTCTGTCATACTGCTGTTGGGTTACTTGTAGCAAATCCCATGCCACAAGGAGGTTAAAGCAAAATATCAATCCTTTCTTCATCTAGTGAATTCTACAGTTAACTTCAAGAATGTTTTACATATAATTGAAAATTACTAGCAATCTTTCTTATAGGATAGAATCATAGAATATTGCAGCACAGAAGGAGGCCATTTGGTCCATCGTGCCTGTGCCAGCTGTGCTGGAAGAGCTGCCCAATCAGACCTACTCTCCCGCTCTTTCCCTATATCCTTGAAAAAATTTCCTTTTCAAACACCTATCCAATTCTCTTTTGAAAGTTATTATTGAATATGTTTCCACCACCCTTTCAAGTAGTGCATTTCACACCGTAACAACTCTGTGTTAAATTAATTAATTAATTAATCAATCAGTCAATCAATTAATTAATTAATTCCCATCATCATCATTGGTTCCTTTGCCAATTATCTTGAATCAACTGACCCGCATGCCAAAGAATGGGAAAGTTTTTGGGCTGTGTTGAATTCTCTGCTCAAAGGTTCTCCCACTTTTAGATCCTACTTTAAAACAATGCTTCTAAACATTGTGTCTTGCGCAAATGTAGGCTGAGGGTCAAACTGACTGCTGTGTCCTGGTCGAATCTGACCCGATCCATATCCATCCTTTGGTTCAGTCCAGGAATATTACGTCCCTACAGCGTAGAGATGCAGAAGTGGATAATACATCCAGAATGAATCAAATTACATGAGCAGTGCAGTTTGCTGTACACTGGCAACCAGGTTTCCCCTAACAATAGGAGTGGGTGGAGGGGGTGGGGTGCGGTGTGTGTGTGTAATTGCAGGGACCAGGTATCTGGATATCTGTTGAGATTGGGAGAAAGTCACAGCCAGTAAATGGCAAAATCAAGCTTTTTCTAAATATAGAAATGTAAAGCAAATGTTTTCAAATGCTCTGAGATCTTTTCCCAGTTGTAAAGCGAAGGTCACTAAAGCCAATGTGATTCTCATATGTAGGGGGAGGAGAGAGAGAGAGAATCTGCCTTTGTACAGTCCATCCTTTGTCTAAATCTGGTGACTCAAAAGGCAGCCGCCTCTTTAGAAATGTCATCACACTTATTTCCCCCCCCCAACAATTACTTAATTGTCCAATTTAAATGTCTTCATGACTAGTTTTAATTGCTGATCAAAAACCTCAATGTAAATGTCTGTCAACATTGTTGACGCTTTTTAGCTGAACCACATTTTGCGGCTACATCCCTAACCTCTGGAATCTCTTCCCTTCCTCTCCCACCTACCCCTCCCACCTCCATCTGTCTTTAAATCTTGCCTTACTTACCTCTTCGACCATGCCTATGGTCACCTCCCTTCCATGATGTCTGATCCTGACACTATAAAGCACTCCACGATGTTATCCTACATGAAGGGTGCTATATAAATAATTTACTCACTGGAACTGCAGTTTATAAAGGGTGCACACTGAGTGTTTATTGAGCTCAGGCAAGACAAGGCAATCTGTCCTAAGTAGGTTTGCATTACAATTTGATGTGTCTGATTACTCAATTTAGACTTAAGTTACAGCTTGAATATTTCCCAATAATTTCTATGAATACTTAATTCATTGCACAAATTTCATCACTCCTTTCATCAGTTGATAGTTTCAGGATGATGAAATCCTGCATTTAGGTTGCTTCATATGCCTGCTTTTGTGCCTTTTTTTCATATCTTTTAGTATAAAATATATTTGCTCACAAAATAAACAGTCAGTTCACTACAGTATATTCTGTGAAGCGCTTTGAAACGTTTTAAAGATGTGATAAGGTGCTATATCAAATGCAAGTATTATTATTTATAATCCTTGAATATGCCTGTTTTGTCAGAGATATTAGCTGAGTCAGTCTGTAACACAAATTTGTCACCTCCCTTCAAAAAAAATACAAACCACATTGACATCAAATACAAAGAGTGCCTTTCCCTCAGCAGGCATTGGGTTCCTGATGAACATGGAGCTGCAGTGCAGATTTGAGCTAACTCTCAGTGCCTTCCGTACCCTGTAGAGGAATTGTGCTTGAGATGATTTTATGTATTTAAATGTCTTAGTTTTATTGTTTAGTTGGCTCAGTGGGAAAGCCGGCTTAGTGCAGATACTGAGGACAGCGGGTATAGCTTAAAGTTTAGCTTAAACAACTTTTAAGAGAGAAGTAGATAATTATTTGGGGAGGACAAGTTTGCAGGGTTATGGGGAGAGCACGGGGGAGTGAGATTGATTTGGAAGCTCTTTTCAAAGAGCCGGCACAGACATGATGGGCTGAATGGCCGCCTTCTGTGCTGTATGATTCTATAAAACATTTACCTGTGTTTTCTAAATGCAAGGATTATTATTATTCTCCCCTCCTGTGGGTGCTGGACAAAGAGCCCTCCACTACCTCGGCGACTTGTCTGCGCAGTTTATGGCTCAATCTGATTTTGTCTGTGTGTGGGGGGGGGCAATCATGGGGCTCAGGGAATTTCTCAAATTTCTCAATTTTTCAATCAAAACTGAGACCCCTGGCTGATTTGGCCCCAGTCCCTGCCTCCAGTCCAAGGCACTCAGATCAATTGATCCTCCAACTGTTGCCCCAGCTGATATCTGCTAACAGCACACAGACAGGGAAACCAACCTTGCACGTTGTGGTCAGTCTGGGCAGCTCCCTGGATAAACACACACACAGACTCCACTCTCTCCAAGCCCACACACTGAGGCCCTGCTCTGAAACCACAACAAAGCTTTTTTTTCCCCACCAAAGAACATTCTTCATTCATCACCTTTAATTTCTCCACCTCATTGTGCTTATTGTTACCAAGCAGCTATTGCTCTGTTGCAACTTCTTATGGTTTTCTTTGCTGTTTGCTGCCTGACAGTCTTGGTGCCAGAGCTTTATCACTGCCAGGTTTACTGTAATGTGCTTTACGGTCTTTGGTTGATCATTAATATGAGCACCAGTTCGGCATCTTTCTAATACTGTGGCTGCCTCGTTGTCCACATCAGTTGTGCCTAGCCGCTGATTAAAGGCTCCGAGGCTAACGCCTGAGCCCATTCCAGAAGGAGACGCATGGTAGAGAGGGGGGCTGGCCTTGTTTTCCTTCATCCAATAAACTCCAGTACATGATCGCCGGTGGGGTGGTGGGGGGGGAGACACCGGCACTAGAAAGTGATCTTGAAAGGAATTAACTGTTCACTGTATTTGTTAGAGACCAATGTTTGGACAAGACCGGGAAATATACAAGTTGTTTGAGTTCTGAACTGTGTCTGTATCCGCTGTCTGAATAATAATAATCCTTGCATTTGACATAGCACCCTATTTTGTCTTTAAGACCAATTTATTTATTTATTTATTGAAGGGATTATTGCCCCCTTTGTCTGAAGAACGTAGACTGTGTATCTCTGTAAACACACGGAGAATGTGGCTCACCATCTCTACATAGTCATACAGTGATATGTAAGACATTAGGGAGCCTGCTGTTACCCAGCTATCTCTGCTTATCAAAAATGTTACCCATACGGACAGTCAGAGGAAGCACAGCACTGGAGCAGACACCTGCACTGGAGCCCAGGTTCCCATATTAGATGAATCCTACAGCAAAGTGCTCATTATTAGCACTTCAGCCAAGAGGTATCAGCTCAACAGGCTCTGTGTCTCTCAAAGGATTAGGTTAATCCTTTCCTCCTAATCACAAATATTGGGTTTGTCCCAATTTATCTAAATACCTCTAGGTAAACCCCCTGAAAACTCCGAAAATAACTCTTCTCCACTTAAGATAGTATTCTTGAATGATCTCCGGACTCTCATGCCGACACAAGTCAGTGACTGGAAATCATTCACTTTTCCTCCTGATCCAACTTTCTCCGTTTTTCTCCTCAGTCTTTTTTCCATCTTCCTTCCCTTCAATTTCCAAACTTCCCTTTCCTCTTGCTGCTGCCCCCCTCTCTCCCCCTCTCAGCCCTGCCCCTGGCAAAACACACAATGCCACCAGCTACTCAGTTATACTGTTTCACTGCCCCAGGGTTGAAGCCACTTTTGAAAGGCTTTGTTGAAAATTCACCATACCAACCTAAATCGCTCCTATATTCACCCCTCAAGCCATAACAGTGTTGTGGAATTATGAAGCAGTCTCCAACCTCCCCTTTGTGATGTATAGATACAGAAAAACTATTCCCTCTGGTTGAAGAATCCAGAACAGGGGGGGCATCATCTTAAAATTGGAGCCAGGCCATTTAGGAGTGAAATCAGGAGGCAGTTATTCACCTAAATGGTAATGTAAATCAGGAACGCTCTTCCCCCAAAAGGCTGTGGATGCTGGATCCATTCACATCTTCAAGACTGAGGTGGATAGATATTTGTCAGGTCAGGGTATCGAGGGATATGGGGTAGGTCATTGGAGTTGAGGTACAGATCAGCCATGATCTTATAAAATGGCAGAACTGGCTTGAGGGGCTGAATGGCCTCCTCCTATTTCTCTGTTTCTCTGGGTCAGGGCATTTAGCAAACCTCCATTACCTGAGAATTGTACTCATCTCAGTTGTTCTTGATCCCACCTGGTATCTGCTTCCAGGTGTATGTACACTATGCAGGTGATCTTCCACCTCAGACAAGTTTTACTGAAAATTATCTAAGCTTTTTAAGCACTGATTTTATTGCATTTCTAATCTTTTACAAATATAAGCGTAGTGTTTTGCCTAGCTTGTTTTAACACCTTGGTTGGTTAACATTTTCAGTCAATGTACTGAATTGTACAAATGCGGGGCTAGGTTTCAGCTTGCCTCCTTGATCTCTATTGAATGAATGTTTCTTTCCTAGGTATGGAAGCCATTATGTCTGAATTCTTCAATGACACAACAACAGCGTTTTACATTATTCTGATTGTGTGGCTGGCTGACCAGTACGATGCGATTTGCTGCCACACGAACACCAGCAAACGCCACTGGCTCAGGTGAGGCTTTCATGCAGATATCGAGTCTGGAAATCTGGGAGGGGAATAATAAAATTGCTGGGACTCAGAGGTCAGGCAGCATCTATGGAGCAAGGAAACAGTCTTGTGGAGCTATGAAGCAGTCTTCAACCTACCCGTTGTGATGTGTAGATACAGAGAGTATTTCCTCTGAATCCAGAACAAAGGGGGGCGCATCATCTTAAAATTAGAGCTAGTTAGAGCTCGACCATTTAGGAGTGAAATCAGGAGGCAGTTGTAACAGGCAATCCCTGTGGAAGGTACCAGGAAGAAGACACTTTGAAGTTGACAGAAACTCATTACCTCCCTTTCCATTCTCTATAGATGCTGCCTGATCTGCTGAGTGTTCCCAATGACTTATTTTCTTATTTCAAATTTCAACAAGTGTAGTGACTTGTTTTTGCAGGCAAACAGAGCAATCAACTGTGATCAATTAATTGATATGGTAGAGTTTTGTCAGCAGAGTGGGAGAAACTCACTTTTTCTTTTCAAATGGTGCCATTGGAACAGGCAGAACAGTGCTTCAGATCAACATCTCATCCTTTAAACACAAACCATAATTTCTAATCCAAACGTCAAGTTGCCAGGCGCTTTGGGACAGACGCTTTGGGACGTCCTCCCGACTTGAAAGACGCTCTATAAATGTAATTTTGTTGTTGTTTTGATTTAGCCAAACAGACACAGGCCAAAATCCTAACCATTGTGTCTGTACCACTGTCGCCTCACCTTTGTTTGCCACATCAGATAATTAGAGTTATTTTGTTTCTCCCATTCACCACCCTCATTATACAAAGCCATACAACGTGTTTTAATACAGATTCGCTATTAGAGGTAGCCAAGAATGTTGTGTGTTGTGCTGGAGTTCATGCTGGAATGCTTTTCATTCACACAGAACGTTTAACAATTCATTCTTTCATCTTTTTTGCAGGTTCTTTTATCTGTATCACTTTGCTTTTTATGCCTATCATTACCGCTTCAATGGACAGTACAGCAGTCTGGCTCTGGTAACCTCCTGGCTCTTTATACAGGTAACAGTATCTCTCTATGGGTCAACAAGAGTCTGAGCACTTTCAGTCAGCATTAATTAGGTTACATTGAAGATTTAGTTGTGGTACAATCCTGTTTGTCAAAGATATTAACGTGGTTACTGATGCTGTGCCATTGGGGAGGATGCTGTGGGAATCCTAGAAGGTATCTGAGTGCATATGCAAATCTACCTTGTTGATTGTGTGCGTGCATGCGTCTGTGTGCATGTGTCTGTGTGTGTGGGGGTGTCTCTGTGTGACGACTGCATGTGTCTGTGTGTGTGTGTGTGTGTTTGTGTCAGAAGTCCCTGGTGGGATTTATTATTCCATAGTGAATACAGAGCCAGGGAAATTACTTCTCTACCACGGAGCAAATACTGACCAGCTTAAATCTAGGACAATTGCAATGAGGTGAGGAACTGATCTCAGCTGCATGCAGTTGTACAATCAGTCATGAATTACCTTCATCAGTACCGTACAGAAATGATTCACCGTGGTGTGTGACCGGGCAGGCTGTCGAGATGGTTGTTGGGGCAGGAAGGATAGTTGGAGTTGTTGCAGCTGATCAAGTTGCTGTTCTCTCTTCTAGCATTCAATGATCTACTTTTTCCATCACTATGAGCTTCCCGCCATCCTGCAGCAGATCCGCATTCAGGAGATGTTGCTGCAGAACCAGCAGGCTGGGCAGGCTAACCAGACCACGCTTCAGGACAACCTAAACAACAACACTGCCACCGACAGCGGGCAGCCCAGCCCTGCCCCCCACGAGGGGCCCCTCCCACCCTCCTCCACCTCCAACTCAGACCAGCCGAGCAGTTCTGCTAGCCTGGCGGGCAGCATTCAGCCCGTCCGTGGCCAGAATGTAAACCCCGAGACCTCCCCCCTCCCCCGGGTGGGGGAAACGGCTGCAATGATCTCAGACAGGATGGCCTCCCTGGAACCAAGCCCTGCTCCAGACGAGCCCAATCCCAGAGTGACGGGGTCGGGCAGCAGCAGCAGCCCCAGTGATCCTGTGAACGATTCCGGTAGTGTTTGGCCAGGCCAGCCAGCTGAGGAAAGTGTTGGGAGGATGCACGCAGAGTCCTCTTGCAGTGGTGAGCCCGCAACCGACGAGGATCCGAGCACCTTACAGCACCAAGCGCAGGAGAGCAAGGAGGGCGTTCTCACTAAAACTGATCACCTGAACTCGTGCCTCCCACAGGACAAGGAGACCTACACACATTCATCTCAGTACAGCAGTGGTCTCGTTGATGCAAGCTTTGATCAAACAGAATTGGACAATGCAAGCCCCTCAAACAGCTCACTAACTCAGACAGGCGGTCACAGCACTACCCAAACCTCGTGACTTTGTTTTTCCGTTGTGTCAGGCAATCTGTGGGGAAGGTACCAGAAGGAAGACACTTTGAAGTTGACAGAAAGCAGTAGGTGGGGTGGGCTGGGGCTGGGAGGGATGGACTGTCTGTTTCATATTCCAAACAAGAAAACCAAAATATTCAAGTGCTTTTTGACCTGTTCCTGAAGCAGAGCAAGTTTGCGAGCAAGAGCAAAGCGGTGGGGAGCTTTCATGGCAGGAGTTTGATCATAAGTGTTTGTAATGCTCAGCACAGCTGTGTATATTACTGTAATATTTGTGCTGCTAAGAAATGGTTTTGGTCCTGACAAGTGAAGGACCTCAATCTGCTGCAGCCAGTGTCCAGAAAGTGTCAGGGTGGGTGTGAAGATGACAGCTCATGTTTAGCCACATGGCCCTCAGTGCAATAGGCTGATATGTGTTGATTCAGTCCCACAAGGTGTGTCATTACCTGAAGACTTGGTCTCGTTTCTGAGCAGGTGCCTACGTACAAAAGAGGTTGAACAGTCGTAGTGTCAGCGATTCCTTATAGCTTCTAATAAACATTGAATTGAACTAATTTGGATATGATTCAGATTGATTTTCCTGTTGGCAATATTGTATTTAAATGTGTAATGTAAGAGTTTGTCTTTGTATATATTAAAATAAATATGATATCTGAATCTGCTACCGTACATCACTTTAAAGCGTGGTTTGGGCGCCTGAACAGATTACACCAGTCACCAATCACGTATTCTGGCTTCACTAAAGAACAGCTGTGAAAATGCAACTTTTTAAAACATTTTTTGCAAGCGATTTAAGTTCTTCACCTACATTGTTAGGTCTTTTTGGCTTCCACTGGAGGCTTTCACAAAACACAGTTACTACACTTCACAGTAAAATCCTTTAAGACATCCTCCTGATGTGAAAGGGGCAGTATCAAATGCCAGGATTGTTTATCATTATTCCTCAGTTGCTCTCTGTATCTCACCTCAGTTATGTGCGAGTGATCATGGGCAGGGTATGTGACCCCAAAGATATCACAGCCTACTGTGATAGGCTCAGTGCTCCAATAAGATCACTTTCCATCTCCCCAACACATGCTTGTGTGAGGATAGCATCACGCTCGGCTGATAGCTGGTCACATTAGGGTAGAAAAGATCTTCGCACTGGAGCAGCTGATAATCTTAATGATGCTCCAGCGATAGCATGGAACCAAACGCTCAGTACATTAGAACAAAGCTCACGCTGGGTTTATAATGGGAGCTCTAAAAATGTTGATATTCAGTATCAGGCAAGTGAAGGGGAGATTAAATGGGTATAAATCAAGTACCTGTTCATTTATTGGCATGGTGTTTTGCACCTGTCTATAATTAAACTGATTTCAGTGCTGAAACTGCTTCAGTATAATTACCATGTAATATCAACCGCATGTAGGCAGTTGTCATCAATGAGGAGAATTGAATGGCGTTTAATAGTCTATAATTTCTGACTCGATTCCATGATAGGGAAACCAGCCGTTATTCATACTGACCTGCGGGGAGAGCAGCAGGAAGTATTCCCAGAGCATTTCACAGATTTGTAATGAAATAGTTACTGAAAGGAGACAGTGCCACACATTAGACCCAAACATTGGGAAGTTTTAATGCTCTGAGTTCATCAACAACAACTTGCATTTAACAGCGCTCATCATACAGGGTAGTGTCCCAGCGGCATGATGGTGGCGGAGCACGATGTCGAGCCGGGGTGAGGTCATGGTCGAAGAGGAAAGTCTTCAGGCGCGACCTGAAAATGGGGAAGGAGGGTGCAAGGGATAGGGGGAGAGTGTACGTACCAGTGTTTTGGGGTGTAGTGGCTGAAAGTGCAGCCAGTAATGGGGGAAAGAGGAATATGCGTGAGGCTGGAGCCAGTCGAGCAAAGAAACTGGGGGAAACCAAATGACCTGAGTGCAGAAGATTTGCAGAAGATTCACAGGCCCATGGCATCCACAGTCAGGGATCTCCCAGTGTGTTAAGAAAAGAAACCTTAGATAGGCCTAATGGACGTTCCTCTTCCTGTGCTTACGTTACAATTTATTGCATCAAATTTTAATCTTAATAGAATTTTAAAGCAAAATAAAAAGTTTATCCAGTGACCCTCGGAGCTGACGAACCAGGAAAGGCCCCGGTTTGATTGATCCCAGGGCTGTTCTGAGCCAATTGAGGCCAGGCTTTGCCACAGTGTCCCAATTTACTGAGCAACTAAAACAATTCCATCTCATTCCTGATCATAATCTCACGCCCCCTACTAGCGGTGCAATGTATAGCTCAGCACCTCCACTCTCCTCCCAGCATTCCGGATAGCAGCTTCCGCATCAATAACATTACTCATAAAATGGTTTATAATGTGAGCTTTTAAGGTTTCACTTTACAGGGAATGGGAGAGCAGCAGTTAAAAACATTCAGGAATAAATCATGTACCTGTCATTCACCAGCTCATTTAATGACACTGTGTTTTGCCTCCGCCAGTAAGTAAACTGATTCCAATACTCAAACTGCTTCAGTATAATTATGATGCCATATCATCAACGAGGAGAATTCTAAATGGTGTTTAATTCTAATCAACCAGGCGAGGGCCTGAGGATGCGATCACACAAGTGGACAGAGAGGTATGTCTTCAGGTAGGATTCAAAGAACAATAAAGAGGGGGTGAAGCACAGGAACGTGGAAAGGAGAAGAGTAAAATCTTCAGGACAGCAGGGGAGGAAAGTATCCAGGACAAAAAAAAGGTTACCTTTTCAATCAAGGTACAAGTTGAGACAGGATCAATAGTGAAGCCGAACATGATAAATGCGTCAGCATCTGAAGGGAGTTTGTGAGACCAAAAGCCTAAAAATAATCGTTTGTGCCATTCAGTCCATTTAGAATCCTGTCATTTTAAAGCAGAGAAAGAAAAAAAACACAATTCAAGCTCGAAAACACAAAACTGAGCAAAATGTTGAAAGAATTTTTTTCAACTCCTCCTGTAAGTGAGGAGAAGGGCGTTGGTGAGGCAGGTCTGACACTGGCCCGGGAGCTTCCAATCAGACAAGACTGCTGGCATTTCGGGAACCTGTGTGCAAGGAAACAAAGTTCTCCCTGGACCAGAAAGTTTTTAGAGCTGCGTATCTGCTGACTCAATCAACCCTCAAACCCATCTGAGTTGCAAGCTCACAAGCTGAATCGAAACACTGAGCAAGTAACAACAACAAAAATTGCATTTAAGTCGGGAGGGAATCCCAAGGCGCTGGACAGTGAAGGGTTTGCAGCTGGGGCTGGAGTCAAGAGGGGTGGAGGTAAGGGGGGGGAATGGTAGTTGTAAGATGACCGAAGGCACAGTCAAAGAGGAGTGAGAGGCTGACTGACTGACCGGCCGGGGGCTGAGAGGCTGACGGAGCTGGAAAGCTCATCTTGGACAGATTTTTTTTCAATTCGACAAACCAATACTTTTCTGCTGACCCTCAAGAGAAGGCATTTCTGAGCCAAGCTTTTCAGAATCTGGAACACTTGCCAACACTGCCCCAGGCAGAGACGCTTCCTCATGTCTCAGCGCAACTAAAACAGCCAATCTTTCCAGAGTGACAGAAGAACGTTGATTAACAGAAGAACCTCTCAATCAGCAAAGGAGACTTTATAAGGTTTAGCAGGAAATTATATTTTGCAATACTCTCAAAATACCCTTTCTCTCCCTCCATCCCTCCCTTCTGTGGAACAAACCCATGTCACCTTATCCTGCAGTGTTGGTGAGATAGCTTCCCTCCAGAGCTCAGTGTCAGTGTTAATGCAGCTTCTTAAATATATAGATTATGTTAAATGTTCCAAGATACACGTGGTGTCTGTCTGTCTGTCAGACCAGTAAAAGACCCTGAATTTACCCCAACAGTATTCACAGTACAAAATCCAATGTATCCAGGAAAAGCATTGTTCAGCTCTGCCGGTGGCATTCTCGACACGTGGCTCACGATGTCCTGAAATTGTGGGGTTTGCACTGGGGAGTTGTCGCCTGTTTACGTTGTGTTTTGGTGGCGGCCTCTTATCACCATCACCTCTTGTTGCCATCTGTGACGTTTGTCCCCGTGGATTGGCTGCTGTCTTTGGGTGAGATGGTGAGACTGGCCATCAGTTCACTCTTCCTGATGATGGCTGTTCTCAGCTGCTCTTTGATACTCTCGATCCTCTCCTCTAGTTCCTTCATTTCGATGTGACCGGCCTCCCGCTCCTCGCTCTCGCGCTGGGGTTCCACGCTCCCATTCTCGCAAACGCGGCCCACCAAGGCCTCGCTCCTGACCAGCTGCCGGATGCGTTTGCAGGTCTCCAGCCCGGCCGGGCTCCTCCTGTCCTCGTTCAGCGTGATCCTGCGCAAGTTGTTCCACCCAGTCAGCCCAGCGCCAGGGACTCGAGCCGGGTTGGGGAGAGCTCCCTGCATTTTTTGCAGATTACAGCTGTGAAACATGCAAGAAAAGCATTAATGTCCCAGAAAATACACAGTCACTCCACTTTACAGTCTATCCTGTGAAGCGCTTTGAGACGCCTCAATAACATGATAATCCAAGGATTATACAATACAATACAAAATGACATTTACACAGCAATTTTCACGTTGGGAGGACATCCCAAGGCGCTGGACAGTCAGGGATAAAACCCGAGCCAGGGTGGATGAGGGTTGGGATCAGGGAGGGTGGAGAGGGTAGAAGGGAGACTGAAGGCACGGTTGAAGAGGAGGGTCTTGAGTCGTGCCTTGAAGGAGGCAAGGGAGGGAGCGAGGCAAAGGGACTGGGGGATGGAGTTCCAGAGGGTAGGGAAGGCCTGACTGCCGATGGTGGGGTGGGTCAGGCGGGGAACATGGAGCAGGCTGGAGCCTGCTGACCGAGGGACTGGACAGGTGGATATTATTATTATTAGTTACTAGCTGTACCCGATGCAGCTTCGCTTGCAACCAAAGGATCCAATATGGAATGTAGATTAGCACAGACAGACATTTCATCTTTATCTATATTCTTCTAGGAGGACTCCTGTGGGAGGCCTGGGCGTTTTAAAAATGTAATTTTGTTGTTGTTGCCGCGGCTTAGCTTCGTCTGTGTTCCTTATTTTGTTCCCGCCACCGCTTGGCTACATGCATGCTCTATGACGCACGCTACCATAGCATCACTTTGGCTCGGTGCCACCAAGTGTAACTGCAGCAAAAAACACAAAACTGAAAATAACTCATGAACAATAGGAGATATCCGAAAACAAATATGCCCACGTTACTCCCAGTTGTAAGACATTTCCAATGAGGTAGAAATCATGTTTCTATGTCAATTCTTGAAGCAGACAGACATTGTCGTTTTATTAGTATAAGAAGATAGAAGAAGATAACAACTCAATTAGAAACAAAAGTCTAAGGCAATGGGCAGATCGTGTGACTCCAACCCTAAGGGAGAGAGGGAAAACACCACATAGAAGCACTCTGTCTTTATTTCAGCCTGGCTCAGTTGGTACCACTCTTGCCTCTGAGGTTATAATAATAATAATTATTATAATAATCCTTGCATTTGATATAGCACTTATCATTTCATTGAGACGTATCAAAACGTTTCACAGAATATATATTGTAAAGTGACTGTGTATTTTGTGGGCAAAACACACCAGCCAATTGCACACAGCAGCATCCCATAGAGAATCGTGGATTGAGTGACCAAACAAGAGGACCTGGGTTCGATTCCTGGGCAGGGTGACACCTTAGGCCAGTTTCCTTAGTCCACACTCCTCTGTTTACCGAGCAGTAAATCGGTTGTTAGTCGATTGGTGGATCACTTTTCAGGGGTAATAATCCCTCCAAAAAAAGGACTGTTTGTGGGACACTTCTGTGCTCAATTGACTGCTGCGTTATGCCCACAAAATACACAGTCACTACACTTTACAATATATTCTGAGCAGCGCTTTGAGTCATCTCAATGATGTGATGAGGCACTATATCAAATGTAAGGATTATTATAATCTCAGAAGAGCAACGGGAGCAGCTGGAAAGTAAGTGAAAATTTAAAATGGAAAAACCTTTTATCTGTCTTCAGTTTGGGATTTTTCTGCTCTTCAAAACTCATGTTTAAAACACGGTGAATTTTCTGCAACATAGAAAAGATACGTTTCCTATCCCACAGCTCAGCACTGGGCGGGGAGTTTACACAGAGCCTGAGCTTCACACGGCAAATAAACTACGTCAATTAACCTGCGTCACACAGCACCCCATCCACCCCCACCCACACCCCATTTTAAAACAGTTTTATATTAAACAGTAACTTTTCTTTTTCGCAGGAATTTTGTGCTCATCAAAACCAAGCTTTTCTGGTGTCAGTCCTAAACTTGCCCCCACCCCCAAACCCTGAGCCCTCTGTCCAGTCACTAAGACCCCTGGCTCTCTTTCCACTTCCTCCCCCCACAGATTCCTCCCCCGCCCCCTCCCATGAGAGTGAATCTGCCATCACTCGTGTGACCCGCACTGACACTGCAGGCAGCTCAACTCTTTCCAGTCCACTACATCCATCGACTTTATTAATGCCCCCACTCTCTCCCCACAGAGAACAAAGAACTTGCTGGCGAAGGAAGACCAAGGTCCATCTAGTTTGCCTTCCGCCATCTGCTTGACAAATCGGGTCCCAAACTATAGACAGTTTCCCCCCAGATATTATATTGTAGCAGAAATCTGATTTCATTTTGGTACAATTGACATTTTCTGCTTCCACGGTCTCCCTCGGGAGCCTGTTTACTGCTCTCTCACTGAAGGAGTAGTTTCTGCAGATTTATTCTCAATTTAACCCTCTTCAGTCGCAGGCCGTGTCCTCTGGTTCAGTACAAGATAAAACAGCTTATTCTGATCTATTCCCTTCAGAACCTTAAAGCCTGCCATCATATCGCCCCTCGACCTTGTCTTCCCCAGTGTGAGCACTGCCAGTGTAAGCGTTGGCTCCTCACCCTACCTGGCTGGTGTGGAGCCAGTATTTGAATTTCTTGCGCTTGCGGATCCTGGGCAGAAGGAGACGGAAGACGAGGTGTTCCCCCGCGGTACTGAGCAGGGACCCGGCCATACCCAGACACAGCAGCACGAACAATCCCGAGAAGTGCTTGATTCCCATCTGCAGAGTCTGTGAGACGATCAGTGTGAGACAGAGCAGCTCAAACAGCAGACAATCCCATTCGCATCACTCAACAATTCCCTACACTCGCAGCAAAGTCCCAGGGTCCCTCCAGCTGGTCCTCTCCCTCCGCCCGCCTCGCCTCACCCCCTCCCTGATCTCCTTCAAGGTCTGTCTCAAGACATTCCTCTCGTACCGTACCTTCTGGCACCCTCCTACCCCACTACCCTCCAACCCTTTTGATTCCAACTCTCACCTCGTTCACTGCGAAGCTGCGCTTCCCACACGGCACCACCTTGTACCACTTGTCGTGCAGAACGTCCATGAACCCGTCCGACTTGTAGCGGCTGATAAACTCCGAGATGTTGGAGCTGAGCACGAAGTTCTGGGGCAGACCAATGCCGTAGCCTGGGGAGAGAGACACTGACAGTGACAGTGACAGTCACACAGGACCCCGCCTGCCCCTGACAACATAGAATCCTAGAATCATAGAATATTACAGCACTATTCAACTCTGGTTAAAAAAAAGTCTCCTCGTCTCCCCTCTGGGTCTTTTTTAATCCATGTCCCCTGGTTACCAACCCACCCACCCGCCAGTACAAACAGGTTCTCCCGATCTACTCTTATCAAAATCACTCATAACTTTGAACATCTCTATTAAATGTGCCCTTAACCTTCTCTGCTCTAAGGAGAACAATCCACACTCCAGAATGCTGCAGTGCTGTATAAATGCAAGTTGTTGTTGTAGTTGTTGTTGGGCTAACAATTCCTCAGATAATACCAGTCATTCGCTCCATTGACTGCTGTGTTTACCATTAAAATGAAGTTACTACACTTTACATAAGTCCTGTGAAGCGCTTTGAGATGTCTCGACAACCTGATCAGGCATTGCATCAAATGCAGGAGTTATTATGGGAAAAATAAGTACAGAGATATAGATCAGTAATCTGTAACAAATCAGATATCATCATAAAGAACCAAATAGATTATACGTGCAGTATTATTGCTGTGACTGTCCCAAATGATTGCAGCAGAAGAATTAAGGAGAAGGTCAGGAGATATTATTATATCGATTGACAAATTGAATGCGGACAAAGCAGTCAATAATAATAATTAATTATTATTATTATTGACTAATTTATGTTAAAGTCAGATCTCCTGAGGGCAGCGGAAACTCACTCACTCCCACCCGGTCTCTCACCTTCAATCGCGAATGGCTTCCCCACAGTCATCAGTTTGCAGTCGGCATCGATGGACACCTCATAGTCCAGCAGCGCTTTGTCCATGATAAAGGCGTCCAGGTTGGGTGGGTTTGTCCTGGACAGACAGGACGTGAAGTGGTCATAACAACACCTCAGCTCCGCTCCAACCCAACCCCAGGCTCCTCCCACAGGCTCTGCCCCACCCCACCGGCTCCTCCTCCCTTCCCCGCCCCGTGTGCCCCTTCTCGCGAGGCTCCTCCTCTCCTCTGTGGGCTCCTCCCTGCCTATCTCCTCCGCCTGACTGCCCCTCCCCCCAGACTGCCCCACCCCCCAGACTGCCCCCCCCCCAGACTGCCCCTCCCCCCAGACTGCCCCTCCCCCAGACTGCCCCTCCCCCCAGACTGCCCTCCCCCCAGACTGCCCCTCCCCCCAGACTCCCTCTGCCCCCCCAGACTGCCCCCCCCCAGACTGCCCCTCCCCCCAGACTGCCCCTCCCCCAGACTGCCCCTCCCCCCAGACTGCCTCTGCCCCCCAGACTGCCCCTCCCCCCAGACTACCCCTCCTCCAGGCTGTTCCCACTCCCCGAGCTGCCCTTCCTCCAGATTGCTCCGCCCCCCTGACTGCCCCTCCCCCTGACTGCTCCTCCCCCTGACTGCCTCTCCACCCTGACTGCCCCTCCCCACAGACTGGCCCTCCCTCCGACTGCCCCTCCCCATAGACTGCCCCTCCCCTCGGGCTCACTTGAGCTGAGTGACGCCATCAGGGGTGGTGGGGACGTTGTATCTGCGGATATACTCGTGCATCTCAGGGAAGCTTTTCTTCATGTAATCCTCGGCGCTGCTCTCCCGCACGGTGCCGAAGCGGAACCCCCTCGAGGGGTGGTGCAGCTACAGACAACAGCAAAGTCAGTCACCGAAACCCTCCTCCCAACATGGAAGGCGCTGTACAAATGTAATGTTTTGGTTTGTTTGCTTGTTAGCCATCAGGCACACAGCGCAGTCTGAACAACTCCTGCAAATTAACTTCCGTGCTTTTCCCCCCCAGTCCCGGTCGCCCCGTGTGTCGGGGAGTGGAGCAGGAAGGGACAGCAGAGGGAGAAGAGTTCTGAGTCTTGAACTGTACTGATCTGAGAGCTACACTGAATGCCTAAATGTGGGAGTGAGCTCCATTTCCTGGCGCTAACAGCCTGACGACAAACCCCTGACAAACTCAGGCATACCTTGGCATCATGAATCCCGGAAAGTTCCTCAAATGTTTTCTCCCCGACCATCACGGCGGCAAGATTAGCCGTGTAACTGGACAGGACCAGGAGGCAGAAGATGGCCCAGAGGTTCATTAAGAACCGTCCGGTCCAGCACTTGGGAGTTTTACTGGCCACGGTCCTCCCAAAGAGGATGGCATAGCACAGATTGAGAGCGGATGAGTAGGAGAAGACCTTCATCCTGTTCCTCCCGTTGGGAGTCATTCCAAATGGGCTTTTCCACTCGTAGAGAGTCAGGAACAGCGCCGTCACGTGAAGAGTCACGAAGATCCCGACCCACATGGACCAGTGCAGCGGCCACATGAAGGCCCCGATCGGCGCTGCCGTGTCTTTGGAGCGGACGATAATGCCGAGGCTGGTGGAGTAGAAGGGGCTGGTGAAGTCGATGACTTTGCTTCGGGCCGAGTTGACGCTGAAGGAGGTGACGGCCATGTGGGCGGCCCCGCTCAGCAGGTCCCCCACCAGCCCCGTCCACCCCCCATTCTTCCAGGCCCCGTACTTCCCGTCGCCCACGATGTACAAGTCAAACTCAAAATGGAGGTCCTCGGACAAGTGCTCCAGGAGGTCGATGCAGTAACCATAGCAGCAGCGCTTGTATTCCGTGGGCACAGACCCGTTCTCGCTGTTGAGCTGCGCGAAGAGCCTCTGGAGGACGGCGGAGTCGTTGGTGTGAGGGTCCAGGCAGAGGCGGCCGGCGGGGCAGGTCCCATCGCTGTCCACGGCCCGGGTGAAGACGAAGGGCAGCTCGACCAACGTGACCACCCGCAGCCTGGCCTGCCCTGCATCCTCCCCGTTGTTCTTCATGCTCTGTATCTGGTTGGGCCAGATTCCCTTCTCGATCTCGATCTTCTCTCGGTTCCACCTGCCCACGGTCACCCAGGTGGGTTTGCCCAGCGGGTCCTGACGCAGGTTCCAGATATGGTAGCGGTGATCGGTGCGGATCCGCGACACCTCCTCCACGTGGATGTAGCCTGTGGCCCCATCAAACGAGGTGTTCGCCAAAAACCTGCCGCAGAACGGGAACAAGGCAACGTCAGAGAAACGATTCTCGGTTACAGCGAGCTACAGAGTTAAGGTACAGATCGGCCAGGATCTAATAGAATAGCGGAACAGGCTCGAGGGGCTGAAAGGCCTCCTCCTGTTCCTACGTTCCTCATCTCGGTCCAAATCTGCTTTGCTCTAATTTGAACCTCGTGACCTCTTGTCACTGACAGACCCACCAGGGGGTGAAGTCATTCACTGGCCCTTGTGTTGAGCTCTTTCACCGTTCTTAAACTACTTCCATCACATCTCCCCAGTTCTGGAGAAGCATCCCCTGGCTGACCGGCCACTCACTGGAGTCTCACTGTCTATTATATCATTTTAGTAGCGGCTACACCAGCACTTTCCCGATTCTCCCCCTGCAGTTGACGAAGGTAGGGTTCAAATGTTTCAGTTACACAGCTTGTTTTGTAAAGACTTAGACCCACAAGAAACGTTTCTGTACCAAAAATTGAGAGAACCCCAAAATAACCCTTTTATTTTGTCAATCAAAATGATAGGCCGTTGTCCTACCCCACAGTCTGCCTCCAACCCAAATGGCAGCCAACACCCCCCCACACCCCACCCCGCCCCCACTGAGACACTTAATAGAATTACTTTGAGTTACACAGTGACAGAAGTCGGAATTGTACAGTAGTAATTGAGTAATTGAGTGCACAAAGTGAAGAATCGCACCCAGTTCTGAAATGGTTGGAAGACCCAGAGTTATTGGTCAGGACACCAGAAATTCTGTATCTTTTCGAATAGTACCACTGCATCTTTAATATCACCTGAACAGCCTTGGTTTAACATCTCACCCAAAGAATGGCACATCCATCAATACAGCACTTTTCCTCCCAGCTTTTTTCCTTTTTCTTTCCCCGCCCCCTCTCTGCTTGTCCTTATAAGCTGCTCCCTTCCCAACACTCCTCCAGTTATAATAAATAATAATCCTTGCATTTGATCAAATTCTTAATCACAGGATACTGTAAAGTGAATTGAATGTATATTTTAGGGCGAAACGTGGCAGCTAATTGCACACAGCAGCGTCCCACAAACAGTCACAAATTATTTTTATTTATTTTGAAGGAATTATTACCTCTGGAAAAGTGATCCGACTAATAACCCAGTTCCCACTTACTGCTGGTAAACAGAGGCGTGTGGAGTAAGGAAACTTCTTCAGCATTTTGCCGAGGCTGGGAATCGAACCCAGGTCCTCTCACTTGCGAAGCAAGCGCTCTAACCACTGAGCTACGGTACTCCACAGTTCTGACAAAAGGTCATCGACCTGAAACGTTAACTCACTTTGCTCTCTCCATAGATGCTGCTGACCTCCTGAGTGTTCTGAGCGATTTTTTGTATTTACGATTTCCAGCATCTGCATTATTTTAAGAACATAAGAACATAAGAAATAGGAGCAGGAGTAGGCCAATCGGCCCCTCAAACCTGCCCCGCCATTTAATAAGATCATGGCTGATCTTCTAACCTAATTACATTTACCTGCCCTATCCCATATCTCTTAATCCCTTTAGTTTTTAAAAATCTATCAATCTCAGTTTTGAATATGTTCAAGGACTGAACATCCACAGCCTCTGGGGTAGAGAATTCTATAAATTCACGACCCTCTGAGTGGAGAAATGTTTTCTTAACTCAGTTCTAAAAGGCTGACCTTTAATCTTGAGACCCCTAGTTTTAGATTCTCCAACCGGTCTCACACCATCTACCCTGTCAAGACCCTTAAGAATCTTATAGGTTTCTATAAGATCACCTCTAATTCTTCTATATTCTAGAGAATATAGGCCTAGTCTACTCGTAGGTCAACTCCCTCATCCCAGTAACCAACCTAGTGAATTTACGTTGTTCACTAGGTTCTGAGGCGAGTATGTCTTTTCTTAGATAAGGAGACCAAAACTGCACACAATATTCTCGGTTCAGTCTCACTAAGGCCCTCTACAAAATGCAGTAAGACTTTCCTACTCTTGTAGTCTAATCCCCTTTTCAATAAACTCTAACATGCTATGTCTTGCTATGCTATGTCAAGCCTTCCTAATTGCTTTCTGTACCTGCAAACTAACTTTCTGTGATTAGTGTACAAGGACACCTAAATCCCTCTGAATACTAACACTATCTAGTCTCTCCCCCTCTAGAAAATAATCTGCTTTTCTATTTTTTCTACTGGGTGAATAACTTCACACTTTCCCACATTATACTCCATCTACCACCTTCTTGCCCACTTGCTTAACCTGTCTCTATCCCTTTGCATCCTCCTTGTGTCCTCCTCACAGCTTACTTTCCTACCTAGCTTTATATCGTCTGCGAATTTAGCTTTATTTCCTCATCTAAGCCATTGATGTAGACAGTAAACTGTTGAGGCCCAAGCACTGATCCTTGTGACACTCCACTAGTCACAACCTACCAATCTGAGAAGGACCTGTTTATCCCTACTCTCTGTTTTCTGCCTGTTAACCATTCTTCGATCCATGCTAATATATTACCCTTAATTCCATGCGCTCTAATCTTATGTAACAACCTTTTATGTGGCACCTTGTCGAATGCCTACTGAAAATCTAAGTGTGCTATATCCACTGGTCTCCCCCCCATCTAACCTGCTGGTTACATCTTCAAAAAACTCTAAAAGATTTGTTAAACATGATTTCCCTTTCGTAAAGCCATGTTATGATTTTTCTAAGTACCTCACGACGACGTCCTTAATTAAGCACTCCAGAATTTTCCCTACCACCGATGTCAGACTAACTGGTCTATAGTTCCCCATGTTTTGTCTCCGACCCTTCTTAAATATTGGCGTTACACTTGCAATTCCAATCAATGGGAACCGTTCCAGAATCCAGCGAATTTTGGAAGATCCAAAACAAAGCATCCACTATCTCTGCAGCCACCTCTTTTAAAACCCGAGGATGCCGGCCATCAGGTCCAGGGGATTTATTGGTTTTTAGTCCCATCAATTTCTCACTAACATTAGCCTCCAGGTTCCCCTCTATTTTTGGCAAGTTTTCAGTGTCCTCTAATGTGAAGACAGAAGCAAATATTTCATAGAATCATAGAATCGTACAGCACAAAAAGAGGCCATTCGGCCCATTGAGTTTGTGCGGCTCTTTGATTAGAGCAATTAATGTCAATCCCACTCCCCAGCCCCTTCCCCATAACCCTGCAAACCCGTCCTCCTCAAATACCCGTCGTATTTGTTCAGTGACTCTGCCATTTCTTTATTCCCCATTATAATTTCTCCTGTCTCTGCCTGTAAAAGACCCACATTTACTTTTGTTAATCTCTTCCTTATTATATACTTGTAAAACCTCTTACAATCTGTCTTTACATCTCCAGGTAGATTACTCTAATATTCCATTTTCTCCCTCTTGATCAGTTTCTTGGTTAGCCTTTGCTGATCTCTAAAGCCCTCCCAATCCTCAGGTTTACAGCTCTTTTGGGCAATATTATAGGCCTCTTCTTTTAACGTTATACTTTCCTTAACTTCTCTAGTTAGCTACGGTTGAACCAATTTTGGAATTTTTATTTCTCAAGGGAATATGCGTTCGCTGGGAATTATCTAATATATCTTTGAACGTTTGCCGTTGCTTGTCTACCGCCATATCTTTTAATCTACTTTCCCAGTCTATCCCTCATACCTGCAAAGTTGGCTTTATTTAAGTTTAAGACCCTTGTTTCGGACTTAACTACATCACTCTCAAACTGAATATTAAATTCCATCATATTATGGTCACTCTGGCCTAGAGGAGCCTTAACTTCAAGATTACTGATTAGCCCTGCTTCGTTACACAATACAAGATCTAGGATCACTTGTTCCCTGGTTGGTTCCTCAGCAAACTGTTCTACAAAACTCTCTAATACATTCCATAAACTCACCCTCTAATTTACTTTTGCCAATCTGGTTTTCCCAGTCTTTATGAAGATTAAAATCACTCACTATTATCGCATTATCTTGTTATATGCTCCTCTAATTTCCTGATTAATACTCTGCCCAATACTGTAACTGCTGTTCGAGAGTCTATAAACTATTCCCACTAGTGTTTTCTGCCCCTTGTTGTTTCTTAACTCCACCCATATTGATTCTACATCCTGATTTTCTGACTTAAGATCCTTCCTCTCTACTGTTTTTATCTCATCCTTTATTAACAGGGCTACACCCCAACCCCTCGTTTTCCATATTGCCCGTCTTTCCTCTATGTCAGGTACCCTGGAATGTTTAGTTCCCAACCTTGGTCTCCCTGTAACCACGTCTCAGTAATGGCTTTTAGATTGTACCGGTTTATCTCTATTTGTGCCATTAATTCATCTATATTGTTACGAATGCTTCATGCATTCATGTATAGCCCCTTTAATTTGAACTTTTTACTATTTCCCCTACTCATTAATGCCCTATTTTCTTTGTTGTACTCTTTGTCCCTACTTGACACACTCTGTTCTTCATCTCCCAAGTTGCTACTCTGCTCTTCAGCCTTGACTTTTCTTATTTGCTTTGTGAGTTTAATTTAACCGTAACCCTCCCTCCCCCCTTATTAGTTTAAAGCTCGATTGACCTCCCCAGTTACTTGTTTTGCCAGGACACTGGTCCCAGCCCGGTTTAAGTGAAGCCCATCCCGTTGGAAGAGTTCCCTCTTTCCCCAGTACTGGTGCCAGTGACCCATCAAATTAAACCCCTGCCACTCTTTCAGCCACGCGTTTAACCCTTTAATCCGTTTATCCCTGGACCAATTTACGCATGGCTCAGGTAGTAATCCCAAAATTATTATCTTAGAGGTTCTGCTTTTTAATTTCATCTCTAGCTCATTAAACTCCCTCATCAGACCCCTGCACAAATTGGTACAGGGACATTACTAGCACTACCCATGTCGTTGGTCCCTACGTGGATTACAACAATTGGATCCCCCCCATCTGCTCCAAGTTCTTCTCCAACCCCGAAGAGACGTCCTTAACCCTGGACCAGACAGGCAACACAGCCTTTGTGACTCCTGGTTGCGGCTGCAGAGAAGAATATCTGTCCTCCTGACTGTCTTTTGTTTTCTGCCTCAGAGTGTCTGTTAACGTAGATTGGATGAGTTTCAAGTCCCAACATGAGCTTTTGAACCCACATCTTTCTGACTTGGGACAGTGTTACCAACTCAGCCGAACTGAGACACGAAGGTCAGGGCAAGCGCGTGTGACAGTATTTGCAGGAGTCAGAGACACTCAAAAGATTCACAAAGTAAGACTGAGAAGAGAGAGAGAGAGCGAGAGAACGAAGGGACACAAAGACAGAGTGAAACATATTGATGCAACAAAACTACAGGGAGATGGGATAGGGAGAGAGGGATAGAGATAGGAAGTGAAAGGCAGAAATACACGGAGGCAAACGGGAGACAGATTCAATCACAAATTACAATTACTCTCACTCCCAATAACTCGTGTAGCGTAGCTAGTTTGGGAATGAGTGTGTTGCTCAACCTGGATTGGCTACTTCACTGGTTTTATGTGTTCACCAACAATAACTTGAATTTACACAGAGCCCTTCACATGGGTTAAAGCCGCGGAATGCTTAACAGCCGCAGGGACAGGCTTAACAGCTTGACGCTGAGCCAAGGACAGAGTGGGGGTGACCATAGGCACGTCAACGAGGAAGATCTCAAACCAAAGATGGATTAAGAGGGGGTGAGGACTGATGGAGGGAATTCCAGAGTGTCGGGGTGTAGCGGCTGAAAGCATAGCCGTGATAGTGGAGCGGAGTGGGCAAGGGGAATGTAGGATGCCGGAGTCAGCCGAGCGAAGGGGTTGGGGAGTGGGGTGGGGTGTGAGCAGGTCAGAGAGGTAGGGAGGTGGCAAGGCATGAATTGATAATAATAATAATAATAATCCTTGCATTTGATATAACACTTTTCTTGTCTTCGAGACGGCTCAAAGCGCTTCACAGAATATGTGTAAAGTCAATTGATCGTATATTTTGGGGTGAAACGCGGCAGCCAATTCTGCACAGCAGCGTCCCACAAACAGTCGTGGGTTGAAAATGACCAATTTATTATTGTTTTTGTTTTGGAGGATTATTATTATGCGTGCGGAGTAAGGAAACTTGCCCAAGGTTTCACCCTTCCGGGAATCGAACCCAGGTCTCTCGCTTGCCAGGCGAGTGCTCTAACCCGAGCTACAGGATGGCATAAACCGCAACAACCACGAAGAGAAGCTGTCACTGAACGTGTCCCGTTCTCTTTGTATATGAAATGACCAAACGTTTACCTTGAAAGATATTGTCCCGAGGAGATGGTTCCCTGCCTCTGTTTGTCGTTGCAGTTGACCATGCTGGGGATCAGGGCGACGTCCGGCCGCACCAGGACGGCTGCGGCAATGGCTCTGGCCACCAGCTCCACCGCATCCCTCACATAGTTGGCCAGGATGGGCCTCTTCACCTTCCCGTAGGCCAGGAGCCCCAGGGGCAAGCCGGCTGTCTGCAACTCCTCCACCCCCAGGGGCTGCCCAATCACCCAGTGCATCTCGGGGGAGGCCAGGCCGAGAGCTGCCGCAGTGTCAAACACCTGGCTCGAGCAGTTAGCGTCCCCGCTGAACATCAGCAGAGATGTGGAGGAGCCTCGGAGACGAGGCAGCTGCTCCTTTAAGAAGCGAGCGATGGAGACGTCCTCCAGGCCGGTCAGGTTGAGCAGCGCCTGGAGCCGGAAGCGGGAGTTGTTGTTGACGTAATTGAGGAAGTGGGAGATGTCCCAGCCTCGGCACAGCACCACACTGACATTGTACCAGGAGTTGGTCCTCAGCACGCTGATCAGTAGGTCCATCAGAGAGGTGACCGAGCTCTCCATGCTCATCTGAAGGTGTAACGGGTTCTGGAAAAGGAGAGAGGTCTCAGAGCAAAGTTGTGAGATGTTTAGCGGTTTAACTCGCTCCAAACCCCCCCCCACCCCCACCCATCCTCTCCTGCAGGCATGACTCGAGGAAGGTGGAAGATTATAACAATAATAATCATATATTTCTGATAACAATAGTCATAACAAGTTGACGGTTAGAGCACTCGCCTCGCAAGTGAGAAGATCCTGGCTCGATTCCCAAGCAGCGCAGAATCTTAGTTTCCTTACTTCACGCGCCTCTGTTTACCGAGCAGTAAGTAGGAATCCAGTTGTTAGTCGATTGTCGGATCGCTTTCCAGGGGGTAATAATCCCTCCAAAAAAAAAAGGGATTTGACTGTGTGATTTGTGGGCAGACGCATGTATAGTATTCCACCAGTACCTTATCCAAATTTGGAGTGAGCCTCGGCAATGAGTTTGATTGTTTTTTTTGGTGGCTGACACACGCGGAAACCCATCTCCGTGTTTAAGAGTCTCCAAACCAAACTGAGAATTCCATGCAGCCCATCTACACGTGGAAATCCCAGAGATAGATTGTGGGGATGGAATGCAGTCTCTCTCTCTCTCCCTGGAGGGACACATCCTGATTACCTGATTCCAGAAAGTAGTAGGCGCAGGTTGACGAGAGCCAAGGCTTGGGGACCTACGAGTGTGCGATGGGGTAACTGCTGGAGTCTAACCAGCTAAAACTGCAAGCTTTCCCGCTGCTTGTCCAGCTAGGACACCCAACTTGTTAGGCTTTGTGGTGGGGGTCAAGGAGGGTTTGATGAGGGGGGTACTGGGGGCCACAGAGGCTGGAGCCAGGAGAAAAGTACCTAAAAGTGGGAGGGGATCAACTTGATCTTTTGAAAAACAAACAAAATGACCATTGAATTACATTACAATTTTATAACGCTGTTCATGTCAGGAGAACGTCTCAACTTTCTACTTTGTGTTGAATAGATGAATTGAATTCTTTTCTGAACAAATTTGCTAAAGTTTTTATTTCTCTGGAGCCAGCGACAGGCACATTCTTTTGGAAATGTGCGTTTGACTTTATTAAGCATTTTATGTATTCACTCATGGTTTCGCCCACAAAATACACAGTCACTACACTTTACAGTTAATCCTGTGAAGCGCTTTGAGACGTCTCGAAGACGGGATAAGGCGCTGTATCAAATGCAATGATTATTATTATGACGGTGTAATGTTGTTGTGTGACCAGCAGATGGCACCCGGTGCCTCTCTTACAGACCACAAACGGTCTGTTCCTCCTTCGATTCCCAATTCGTATCAAAAGCCCTAATTATAACATCGTAAGAATGGTTTTGATGAAGAAAGAAGGTTTCAGCCCATTTGATCTCATCTTTCCAGAATACAACATTCTCTTATCACAGCTGCCCAGGCCCCCGGCCGCGGCCACTCTCCCTGGGAACCTGCTTGATTTGTTAATTATTATTGGTGCTTGCATTTGGGACAGTGCCTTTCATGTCAGGAGGACATCCCAAAGCCCTTCACAGGATTTACTGTGAAGTTTTTTAAGTGAACGAGGCAACTCAATCGTGCACAGCAATGTCCCACAAACAGCCATGGAGTGAGTGAGAATTTTCCTTCTCTTTTTGGGTAGTGTCGGGAGATCTTTAAGGATCACTTGAACAGACAGACAGGACCTTGGTTTAAACACCTCAGCCAAAGTACATCACTTCCGACAATGCATCCGCCACCACCACCCATCACCCCGTGCATTAGAGACTACATGAGATCAAGTCCTGACATGGGGCTTGAACCCACAAACTTCTGACTGAGTGGCGAGAGCGCTACCATTGCACGAGGCTAACACAGAAGGACCCTTTGGGTAAAGAAAAACTTCCTGGTGTCTGTTTGCACCTCTGCACCTGTGTTCTCTTGTTCGACTGGCTTGCATCCTAAAGTAATGTTCTGGATTGCCTTTTTCAATCCCATCTTCAATTTTATAAACCTCTACAGGGTCCCCTCTGAGCCGTCTTCTATCAAGACTGATCTTTGAGTAGTTTTCAGGGTCTGAGATTGTCCCCTACCGATGATTCCCCTCCCCCAGTAAACCGCAGCCCACGTCCACCTTCAGGGAGGAAAACAGGTAGGTTTGGGGGTAACAGGTGTCAGCCTGGCTCAGCTGTCAGCTCTCTCTCTCTCTGAAGCAGCAGTTTGTGGGTTCAAGTGCCATGTTGGGACTTTGACATTCCATAGTCCAGGTTGACCCTCTAGCGCAGCGCTGGGGGCCTGTCTACCTGTTCAGGTAGACACCAAAGATCCCACGGCACTCCCATCCCAAAGGAGTTTCTCTCTCCTTGTCCCACAAACAGCCATGGAGTGAGTGACCAAGTTTATTTGGGGAATTGTTGGCCAGGAATATACAATCAAGTCACTTTGCAGTATATTCTGTGAAGCGCTTTGAGACGTCTCAAAGACGTGATAAGGCGCTATATTAAATTCAAGGATTATTATTATTAGTATTATCCTTCTTGTAGTAGCCATCAGAATTGGACACAAGAACAAGAACAACAACGAATTGCATTTACACAGCCTTCCTTTCATGTCGGGAGGATTTCCCAGTAATCCAAATGTCGTCTACCTAAGGTTTTATACAAGTTCCACATGACCTCACTCCCTCACTCCTCGCTGATCCCACTCTTGCTGTAGCACCGGGAAAACTTACCCGTTCCTTCAAGCAGTGTCTGCCCCCTTTTGTCAGACCCCTCACATTGATCTAATCCAATCTCAGAGATATCCTCCTCTTCAAATGTTAAACTACATTTGCCATCTGTCTGCCCGTTCTGCTGGCCTGTTTGTGTCTTATTGCAATCCTCCTGCAAGACCACTTCAGAACAAATAGGAAGTAGAGGTTTTTTTAAAGTATCAAGGGCGGGACTTTGAGCTCATAGATTAGGCTGACACGATATTGCTGGGGGTGTGCGTGCTGCATTGTAAGAGCTGCCATACTTTGGATGAGACATAAAACTGAGGTCCTTTCCGTGCCTGTTCAGATGGACGTTAATAATCCAATGGCACTATTTGAAAAGAGAAGGGAGCATCTGATGGTGTCCTGGCCAACCACCACCCCCACCCTGCAGGAGATTGCAGAGGTAGGATGGGCGAGAGGGGAGGTAGGGGGCGTGTGTGAAGGCCGTAGAGGAGTCTCTCACTGGGGAAAGAGGGAGCTTCCTGTGAGGGAACCGTGGGCACATCACTCGGTATCTGACCTCTGTCCGTTCCATCACCAACCGGCTGAGGGAGGCTCCAATCATCTGTCCTGACATTGAACCACAAAACACTGCCCTGTCACCGCCTCTTTGGCAATTAATTACTTTCTCTCTCCCCCCCCACCCACCAGTCTACGCACACCCCCCATCTTCTCTCTCAATCACCCTCTCTCTCACACAAACTCTTTCTCTCTCAATTATTCTCGCTCACTCCCCACTCTTATTTTCTTAGAATCTCATCACCTCTTCTCTCTCACTTTCTCACACTGTCTCTCAATCGCTCTCTCTCTTTCTCTCAATCAGCCCCGCTGTATCCGCTGCCACTGTCCCTTTAATACCGGGGGCTTTTATTTTGCTGACAAGTCTCTTATGTGGCGCTTTATCAAACGCCTTTTGAAAATCCATATAAACGACATCAACTGAACCTCATCCACCCTCTCCGTTACTGCATCAAAAAACTCTATCAGGTTTGTTAGACATGATTTGTCTTTAACAAACCCGTGTTGGCTATCCTTTATTAACCCATATTATTCTAAGTGAAAATTTATTTTGTGTCCCAGATTATAGTCTCTAGAAGTTTCTCTGCTCCTGACGTTAGGCTGACTGGCCTGTAGTTCCCGGGTTTATCCTTCTGTCCCTTTTTGTACAGGGGAGTAACATTTACAACCTCTCAATCCTCTGGCATCACCCCAGTGTCCAAGGAGGACTGAAAGATTGTGGCCAAAGCCTCTGTTATTCCCTCAGTAACCTAGGATGCCTCCTATCTGGACTGGAAGAATTATCTCCTTGAGCACGAACAAGCTTTTTAGTCCTGCCTCTTGGTTTATTCTTATCTTATCAATTTCTCTCCCCTCTCCTCCTTTACTGTGCCATTAGCTGCATCCTCTTCTTTTGTGAAGACAGATGCAAAGTCCTCATTCAGTACGTCAGCCATGGCCTCTGCCTCCACAAGAAGATTTCCCTCTTTGGTCCCTAATTGGACCCCCCCCTCCCCACCCCTACCTTTGACTAACCCTTTATTCTTTATACGCTTATAAATTGGGGTATTTTATGTCACCTGCTAACCTTTCCTCATACAATCTCTTTACCCCTCTTATTTCCTTTCTCAGTTCTCTTCTGTACTTTCTATATTCTATTTGATTATCTTCTGTATTTTGGATCTGACATTTATCATAAGCCTCATTTTTCTGTTTTATTTTAATTGCAATTTCCTTATTCATCCAGGGAGGTTGGAAGCCCTCCTTTCCCTTTTGTGGGAATGTATTTCTTCTGTCCCCAAACTCTCTCCTCCTTGAAGACTTCCCATTACTCGTTAGCTGTTTTACCTGCCAATCTTTCTTTCCAGTCCACCTTAGCGAGGTCCTTTTTAACTCACTGAAATTAGCTCTTCCAGTTGAGTATCTTCACCTTTGATTGGTCCTTGTCCCTGGCCATAAGTACTCTAAACCTAATGATGTTGTGATCACTGTTGTCCAGATGCTCTCCTACTGAAACCTACTCCACTTGCCCCACATCATTCCCTAGGACTAGATCCAGCACTGCTTCCTTCCTCGTTGGGCTGGAAACATACTGATCCAGAAAGTTATCCTGCACACAATTAAAGAATCCTTCCCCCCCCCCCCCTTGTCCTTTACACTGGGTGTTTCCCAGTCTATAGTAGGATAATTGAAGTCCCCCGTTATCACTACTCTATTGGTTTCTGACCTCCAACAGTCCCCGTTGCCTTCATTCCTCCGGGTCTGGCCTCTTCCTCGTCCCCCGAA